GAGGGCGCCCGCGGGACCCGCCGCTGTCACCTGAGGCCTCCCGAGCCCTCGCCATCTGCGCTGCTTTCCGGCCACTGCACAGGCGCGTCCACAGCAGAGGCCGCTGCTCGGCGTCCCAGTCCACGCGGAGCCCGATCCGCACAGTGCGAGCCTGGATCTGCCCTTCCCTAAACACATGGAAGCAGTGTTCTCAGGTGTCCGACTAGAGCAGGGACCAAGGGATGAGGAACAGGACAGGGACCTTGGAAACCCACCTCGCTTGGTCAGAGCCCTGCCTGAGGCCACAGAAACCCTGAACCAGACAGAGAACAGGGTCTGTGAGTCCCTGGCTCGCCATCAACTCTCGGAAAACTCTAACCACCCTCCTTCAGGGCAAAAGGCATTTCCCATGAGCTGTGAATGAGCTGAGGAGAGAATGGTCAGGACTGTGAGAAGGTGCCAGGTGCAGGTCAGGGGTGGAGAGGAGGAGCCAGGTGCAGGTCAGGGGTGGTGAGGAGGAGCCAGGTGCAGGTCAGGGGTGGTGAGGAGGAGCCAGGTGCAGGTCAGGGGTGGTGAGGAGCCAGGTGCAGGTCAGGGGTGGTGAGCAGGAGCCAGGTGCAGGTCAGGGGTGGTGAGGAGGAGCTAGATGTCATGTGACCTGGCCTCAGTGGGCCCCCAGGGGTAAAGAGAAGACAGCATCCTCCAGCACAGAAAGGTGGGACTTAGAGCGAGAGGAAAACAGTCCTTTTCTAGCTCCTGAGAGGACAAGGTTCCCAGCGTAGTTACAGTTCTTCAGCGCAGGCCAGCGTGGCTCACGTAAAGAACCAGTCTCGAGGCCAGCTAAGGTGCTGGACCCCCACATGGTCAACCACGGTCCTGAGGCTCATTGGGTGAAGGTGCTACACTGGATTAGTCATGTCTGCAGTACGTGGGAGACAGGTGCTGGCTCTGCCGTCCTGCGGCGATGTCCACAGTTAAAGACCAGGAAGGATGGCTCTCGGAGTCCCCATGCACTATGATCACAACCAGTGACTGGGCACATTTTACGGTTGTGGTTCATTCTTGTTTTGTCAGCTTTTATTTATTTTCTTTAAAGGTTTTTGTCCCAGACCTGGAGGCTTGAACCCCATGCCAGTTGCCTGGGTATGTATACCCAGAGTCCCAGGAGGAGAGTGGAGGAGAAGGGATTATAGCATAGTCATACCTCCCGGGTGGAGGGGTGATTTCTCACTTTCCCACTGTCTGTCTGTCTCCGGTGAGTGCAAGCACCCTTTGGCAAAAACCTTAAAAATAAATAAATACATAAATAAATAAAACAAAAATATCTGCAGTCTTATAATGTGCTCTGTGTCCAGATCACGGATGTGATCGTCAGTGCGTGGGGACTCTGCAAAAAGACTCAAAGAGCACATCCGTGCTGGCATTCAAACTGTGACCATCCCCACAGGATGGCAGAGCCCTGCATCTGAGCCAACACCAGAGTCTCCCACATATGTGCAGACGTTACTAATCCAGCATAAGACCTGCCCCAGCAAGTCTCAGAACCTTTTTTGCAGAGCATTCCATGGAAGTGTGAGTCGCTCAGAGCTGGGAACTGGCTTGAAAGACGCAGCTGTCTTATTAAGTTAGTGAGAGTTATTTGGTTTAAGGAATCTCAGTCAAAGCAAAATCTGAGCCGGAAGGGAGCCTGTGGGAAGCCAGGGAAGGCTTGTGTGCAGGATGGAAAGACTTGTGGGTGTCTGAGGGTAAAGGCAAAATTTCCAGTTGGCAAGAAGTGATCAAATAGAGTCTAAGTCCAAATGGGGACCAGACCTTGGCAGAATGGAGGAAGGAGACTGTAGGCATACATGGAGGTTATCCCTGGAAAGGCGGGGAGCCACCTTCCCCAGAGACCAGACCAGGATGGGAATGTGGACACAGGAGAAATGCGGAGGTGGAGAGGAGATGCAGGAGCACCCAGTGCTCAGGAAAACACGGGACCTGTGGAGGGTGCAGGGGGCAGAGGGGGTGAGGTGGGACAAAGAACAGAAAAAAACAGAACGTCATGAAAAGACACTGTGGGAACTGTGACGGGACATCAGACAGACAAGGGAGAGGATTGCAAGCAATAGCCAGTCAAATGGCACCAATTAGCAATCATTCCACCTGTTAGCTCATTTGTAAAATTTCCAAAACATAAAAAGAATTGTTTTCAAGTCTCGTGTGGGACTCAAAACTGCACAGCCAGATATGTGGGATCCAGCACCACGCACCTGCCGGCCCAGAAATGATGATTATTTTATCTCTGTGATTGCTGCATTTTATGCAGCTTTAGAGTCATACTCTTTGAGGTATTTCTTCTTTATAGACAAGGTTGATGTTTCTGTTTTCACTTGTTCTTATAAATAAGATAATTTTTATTTCAGGAAAAAGAAACTGTATATATCTGAGATAGTAAATAATATTAAAATGTTGAAGACTTTTCTATTGAAGTCAGGAGACTCATTCTCTATAACAGCTAACACTACTTAGGATTCGACCTGTGGCAGTCTTATGAGTCTAATGTTTGCTTGTTATATGAGTAGAAACTGAAGGTGGGAAATTGGCTACTGTTATGCCAGGCACACAGATGTCCAATTTGGAAACCTTTGACTAACTCTCCTCTCCTGAACCCTGAACCCAATTGGTCTCGAAATACTATGCATTCTACCATACTGACACCTCATAAATTCCACCTCTCTGAGTTCCATCTGCATCACCTCTGCTCAGGGGTATGTTAACAGCCAAGTGGGCTCATATTTAGTCTCTTATCCAGTCTTCTTCTCTTAACTCATTTTTTTGTGGAACCAGAATTATATTTCCAAAGTTTAAGATGAATCACTTCCATTTCAAGAATATTCCATGATGTACTTAACAGTTGTACATCAACTAAATACCATCTGACTCGACTCTATTTCCATATTCTGCTGTAGTTTGTAGTGATATTGGGAGAATCTAAGCAGGCGAGTTCATTCCAGGTTTATTTGCTAACATACAATGAATGACACAGTAATTCTGATCATGAAATGTACTCTAGGGTCTAACGTTCCTCATCTCCCAAGAGCAAAATAACAACTCCTATTACAAAGCGGGAAGGCAGCATATATCTTCTGAGCTGTTAAGCATGATGAGTGTCTGAAATTTCTGAAATATTAATACTCCTCCTGTGTGTATGTGTGTGTGCTGGCATGCATGCACACTCATGTGTGTGCACTGTTTGTACAGGAATATGTTGAAGAAGGAAGAGCCAGTCTCTACAAGTCTGTGGTTTCCAACAGTTGCAAGGAGATGTCTTGTTATGCAGACTTTCCATTCCCAGAAGATTATCCAAACTATGTGCCAAATTCTCAATTCCTGGAATATCTCCAAATGTATGCAAATCGGTTCAACCTCCTGAAATACATCCAATTCAAGGTAAGACAGGAAACATTGTTTTGTTTGCAATATTTATACCCAGATATCCTACTGGACCTAGAAAATATCAAACCACATTTCAGTGCAGCCAAATGCCTACTCTTATAGACACTGAGGATGACTACCAGCCCCCTGGGGAAGCGTTTCTTGACTCTCCCTTCATAGGAATGGTTGTGTGCAGCAGTCCATACACAAGAGAGCCAAGCTATCTAAAGGAAATCCTTTCCAGGTGTCCTTGGGAATAGAAAAATCTTTGAATATTATTCTCTTTTCTAGGCCCTCTGCCTTTCCATCATGGAGAATAGAGACATGAGGAAAGCGAAAGGGCAGGGACAAATGAATATATCCTCTTCCCCTCCTTTTTTCCTCCTTCCCTAAGAAAGACATGAAAATCTGTGCGTGTTTCTTCTCTTACTTCCCTCCACTATCAGAGCCAGGGATGGTGAGGAATTCATAGGAAATTACACAGTGGAACCACACAAATGAGACCAAAAACAATTTGACTAAAATAAGCCCAAGTGAGATCCACATGCATGCCTGTAAAGGTCTCCTCATCTTACCTCCATACTGTACAAGAGACACAGTAAAAATAAAATGCTCTCATGGATCCAGCAGATGGTGTGGTAGTTAAAGTGCTAGATTCCCACATGACCGATTGCAGTTCATGTCCTGGTGAAATCACACCAGGTGGGTGTGCATGCATGCTCAAAGTCCTAAGAGGAGAATGGAGGAGAAGGTACTGCAGCATCGCCATCTCCCCTGGGGGGCGTGTGTGTGATTTCTCGCTTTACCTCTCTCTGTCTCTGTGTGTCTCTTTCTCCCTGGCAAGCACATGCACCCTATAACAAAAACCTAAAAATAAATAAATAAACAAACAAACGAATGAATGAATAAAATGCTCTCACAATGAAAGTGGAGAACCCACAGAAATCATTTTAGAAATGCATCAGTGTTCCTGAATCTGAAGCATTTTCTGACTATTTGCTGCCCAAGTCCATCTAAGTGCCCAACAACCAATGAAAGAATTGGGAAAATGTGGCACATGTACACTGTGAAATATACACAACCTAAAACAATAAAATTCTGTCATACGACACAACTGGATGAACATAGATGATATCATGCTAAATGTAACAGCAGCCTATGAAAGCAGACACCATCTGTTCCCACTTAACACAAAATGAATGTCTGTACTCTGTAGAGGAAACTAAAGGACTCAGAAGCATAGGAAGAGAGAGTGATGGCAGATGCCAGCAATTGCATGAGAGCAGGGATTCCAAGAGGAGAGTTTTAATGTACATAAGAATGCACCTAAATTAGGGGAAGACGCTATGAGATGGTGAAACACAACACAGGGAAAAATATGGACACATCAAAACATACTTCCCCCCAATATAGTAGAACTGTTAGCAAATGTGCACAACATAATGTAGTGTTCAATGTTGAAGAAGATGAATATGTGTATATTCCTGATTTGATTAGTATACACTGTATGCATGCTTGGGACAAAACCATATCATAACCCACAAAGTTGTACAACGAATATATGCAAGCCAGAAATTATAATAATTTTTTTTTAAAAAAACCTAGATGATGGACCAGCCAGTGGAATGGTGGCTAAGACTCCTGGATCCCACATGGCCAACTGTGTGCTTTAAGTCCAGGTGGCCTGAGAAACATGCCAGACACCTGTGCATGCATGCCTAAAAATCCCCAGAGGAGGGAGAAACGGAGTAGATAGGACTGTGGTGCAACCACCCCTCATAGGGGGTGTTTTCTCTCTCTTTCTCTCTTCTCTCTTTCCCTTTTTTCTTTCCCTCTCTTTAGATAGCACATGCACCCTCTGGCAAATTAAAAATAAATATATAAAAAGCTAAATAGTCACCAAAATTTTAAGATAGTACACACAAACAGCTGTCTCTGAGAGGTGGTTTATGCTTGATTTTTGTTTTTGTTTCTTGTTCCTTTCTATTTATTCCAAAATTTCAATGTCGAACATTTATAATTTTTATAATTAAAATTAAATTAATTTTGTGGTAGCCTAGTGATCAAGGGAGCCAAACCTCACGTGGCCCGTCCTGGTCCCGACAGCTTGAAAAGCACACCAGATGTATGTGCACACAGGTGTGCCTAAAATCCAGACAGAATGCAGAAATGGAGAAGAACTGTGGGAGGACTGTGACATGACCACCTCTCTCTGGGGTGCTTTCTCTCTCCTTTTTTTTTAACAGGGTTTTTGTTTGTTTGCTTGTTTATTTTATTTTTGCCATAGGGCTTGTGCACTTGCCAGAGAGAGAAAGAGAAAGACAGAGAGAGGGAAAATGAGAACTCGGCCCCCAAGTGGGGATGACCATTCTGCACTGCCTTCACCTCTATTTTCCTCATGGGATCTTGGGCACACATGCACATGAGCCCAGCGTGATTTTCAAGCCACCAGGTCTGAGACTTGAACTGCAGGCAGCCATATGGGAGTCCAACACCTTAACTACCAAATCGCCTGCTGGGCCTTCTTTCTCTATTTTTATATCTCTGTCTCTCTGTCTCTTTGGCAAGCACACATATCCGTTGGCAACTAAAAAATATTTTGAATGTTCTTAGCTAACTGAAAATTGATTTTTAGAAATGGCAGAGTTGCTAATTCTAATCTAGAAGTCCAATAAGCATGTTGCATATTAGTTACCAGTGAGCCCATGAAGAAGGATTTGAGAAGATCATCTTCTCTGAAAACTTAGAAAAAGAAAGAAAGGCAACAAAGACTCTTCGTTAGTGAATAATCTGTTGACTTATATTCAATTTATTAGACATGTATTTTCTGAGTCAGAACCTAGTCCTCATGAACAGGTCTGTGCTCAATGAGAACAAAAAATGGACTATTTGAAATTTGGACTATGCTCCAAAGAAATTCCAGCCATATGGTTAAGACTTTTTAGTAGCTCCCTGGATTTGGGAAAACTTCAGCAACACATCCTATAAGGCCTTTCATAATCTAAGATACTTGGGACTCATGCTATGCCTTTAGTTGTCTATTATCCTTGTCTATTAAATGAATTGTTCTTAGACAGTTCAATAGAAATAAGTTGCATAACATAAATAATCAAGAATAAAGTTGCATGAATGATGAAAAGACATCAGAAATGTAGGTTATGATCTTGAGAATTCGAGCAACTAACTTCAACGCTCTGGACTCAGCCACTTCTCTTAGATAGCCCTTCCCCACAACACACACACCTACGCCTCCAAGCTTATAGTACTTCCACCCAAGAAATCTTGGTTACTCTGCCAGCTTGATTGTGGTCTTAGGGTTATACATGAATTGTTTTGTCTTGTGCTCTGGAACTTTTATAATGTCAACAGGCGCATCAACCAGCAAGCCCCTAATGAAATCTTGGCACCCATTACTCATGTCTGTGATTCTTTTTCAGACCAAAGTCTGCAGGGTAGCAAAATGCCCAGATTTTGCTGTCTCTGGCCAGTGGGAGGTAGTCACCCTTCATGAAGGGAAGCAAGAATCGGCCATCTTTGATGCTGTCATGGTCTGCACTGGGTTTCTAACTAACCCTCATTTGCCACTGGATTCCTTTCCAGGTACAGATTTTTCTGTGGCTGCCCTTAGGTTGCCACACAGGCACCATCTGCATGCTTGTTACGTACAGTGGTGAGGTAACAGGAGATCTGGTCTACCCAACACATTCTGGACAGTGTTTGGCTTTCACTGTTTTGAAACAACCTGTGAGTACAGAAGAGCAGAAGAATGACTTACTAAGCATATTTATGTGTCACAGAGGCTCAGTGTCCCTTCATGAGTGACTGGGAGCACTCAGAAGTCTCCTAAGATGTGGAAATGCTCGGACTGTTGTAGCCTCAGCTGCAGCTGCTCCTTGCTGATGTTGAGTTCAGTGGCCAAAAAGGTCAGTCTTTTATATGTCATAGCAATGAGCCAGATCAGAGGTTTATTGGTCAACATTCAAGAGGAAAATGAGTCTTAGAAGATAAGTTAAGACATCTTTAAGTTTCAATTTCCTTTAGAAACATGATTCTATGTTTTAGAGTTAATCTATGACAAACTTCAATTGAATTTCAACTCAAGGGAATAGATAATGCAATGGTGATTTATTTCATCTGTGGCGAGCATTTGAAAAGTTAAAACTTTAGAGATCTTTTCTCTAAATCACGGCCTGGAATGATCCCAAGACTCATCCTACAGTAAACCCACGTAACTCCAGTGATCTTGTATCTGCCCTCAAAGATCTCTCAACTCAAGTCAAATTAGGATAAAACTATCCTGAAAACTGTCATGGAATAAGATCATTTAATTGAGAAGAACCAGTTCAGTCTTCTTCCCTATGTAGGAAATTGTTCTCCAACATCTCTGAAAGGTTCAGTAGCCTCTGCTTGAACAGCCGGTAATACCCTCTCATCACCCCACAAAACACCCAGTCCTTTGTCTGTTCTTGCCCGCAAGGTAAAGTCTGAGCAGCCAGCCACCTCAAGCTCTTAGGAAGGAGTGCCTGGTATAGGCCTCCTCCAAGAATTAAGAAAGTTCCATAGCAAAGAGAGTAAACTGCACTTATCCAGCACTTATAGTATGTTGTACTGGATGCTAGAACTATACAGGCAAATGAGAAACATGTAGCCTGGGGACCAGCAGTTAGCATAATGGCTATGTTGCTGGACTCCCATGTGTTTGACCATGGTTCAAGTCCTGGACCCAGTGGCTTAAACTCAAGCCAGGCGTGTGTGTGCACATGCCCAAGATCCTGAGAGGAGAATGGAGGAGAAGGGTCTTTAGTGTGGCCATCCCCGCAGGGGATGATTTCTCCCTTTCTGTCTCTCTGTCTCTCTTTGTCTTTCTGGCGAGTGCACACACCCTATAGCAAAAGCCTCTCCAAAAAAAAAGAAAAAAAAAAAAAAGAAAGAAAGAAACATGTAGCCTGAAGTAAGGAATGAATAGTTTTTTGGGAGCCCAGGAGGGGAATCATAGTCTACACACGACCTGATGATGCTAATCCTTTTCTTACAGTAAACTCACATGTCTCTGTGGTCCTGGATCTGCCCCCTGGATGTCACAAATCAGGCCAGATTAGGACAAGAGCACACCCTGAAAGTACCTGACTCAAGGTGCTTGAACAGGATGAGCTTGGAACCCAGGCAGTGTGGACTAACTGGTTATAATCTTGGGCCTCCCACTTACCCTTTCTAAGTGCCCATTTTTTTTTTCACCTATAAGTTGAGGGCTTGGACCACCTTGCCCAACTGCATGCATCACAATTCAAGCAGGAAAATCTCTGTAAGATTTGGCAGTCTTTCTAATGAGTTTTTAATGTCCATCCTACCAGCCACTATCAATTTGAAATACCTGGCTACGCTGTTTTCAAGAAGCCTATGAGCTCTCGAATTCTGTGGTTCTAGACTTTATTCCCATTGTTTCCCTCCATCTTCATGACAGGCTTGCTCAATCTGTACATGCTCTTTAATGTGGTTGTCCAGTTACAAAAATTTAGATTTACTGAAGATGTTCAAAAGCATGTGTCACAGATTCTGGAAGCAATTCCAAAGGAGGCATTGCAGAAACTCTTAGGAAAAATCATAGATGTCACAGAATAAATGTCTAATTCCCCAAGATGACTATTTCTGCTCATCCAGGTATGCGCATCCTGGTGTTGACTAACACATCATTCACCTGATGTACGTTTTCACTCTGCCTTTCTGAGCTTAGAGAGGAAAATATGAAACAGAAGATTTAGCTACAGAGTCTCATTTCTGTCCATTTATAACCCTGAACATCCTGATCCAGAGAGAATCTCAGACTCAGAGATAATTCCGTGCTTTTCCTTTGGCTTTTTCAGCTGTCTCTTTTTGGCAGTTCTCTGATCTATGGTGGGTTCCTATGCTTAGTTAATATTTGAACTTGGGGGCCGGCAGGTGGCTTGATGGCTAAGGGTGCTGGACTTCCACATGGCCAACTGTGGTTCAAGTCCCGGACCAGGTGGCTTGCTTTCTCACCCCCACCTCCCTCCTAATTCTGTCCCTCTCTGATCAAATTTTTTAAAATTAATAAATAAATTAAATAAAATAATTCTTTTAAAAAAATAGTTGAACTTGGCTATACCTGTGCTAGATTCCTCATGCTCCAGATTGTGGTCGGGCTTTAGCTAGGATTCTTGTTAGATTTATAATGATTCAAGGTGAGTTCAAACAGCTACCCAGCCTTGACAAGGCCCCTTTCCACAAGCATACTCATTCATCCCCTGAGAAAATCAATGTCTAATCACTTCCTCTAGAAAAAAGAAGATTCTTTATTCCAAACATATCACTTCTGATTGTGTAAAATGGCCTCAAGAGTATTTTTAAAAACTCTTCATTTGTGTTTGATGTTTCAATGAGATTTGGTATCAACTGAGATAGCCCAGATAGTTAACCCCGTAGATCTAATCCTGGTGTCACTAAAGTAACCCTTATACTTCACACCAATCTGGCTGACTCAGCAAACTGCCTTATTACAGGCAGTCACCCAGGTGAGCCACCAGCAAGCACCCAGCCCTCATGGATCTTTGTGAGTAGGGTCTATATTTTGTTTTTCTTACCCGCATATCATCTAAATAGTGCTGGTACATAGCGAATGTCCAGAAATGCTTACCAGACAGTTTCCTTTGGCTTCTGTGTTCTTGCTTCTTGATTGTGAAAAGCTGGACATAAATGAATTCTCAATAAGTAGAGTATTATTGTCACATCGACTCCCATTAACCTTTAAATGCTAATGACTCTTTGCATTTTGCTTAATGTGTCTTTATGCCACTGTATTTCAACTTAGCAGTTAGTTATTTGCTAAGTAAAACTGGAGACCTGTCTAGTGTAATTACCTCCACTAAATAAATAATTACCATCTAATGTCTTATAAATGCACTCCAAGTCTGGATTTCCTCAAAGTTGAATACACTGGTAAAAACAATCAAAGTCTTCTGTCCAAGGGATATAATTAGCTTAAAAATTATGTTTCCTTCATGGGTCCAGTAAATTCTCTACTTGAATTTTTCTTCTACAGGTATAAATTCCTTTAAAGGCCAGTACTTTCATAGCCGACAGTATAAACACCCGGATATATTTAAGGACAAGAGAGTCCTTGTGGTTGGAATGGGAAATTCTGGCACAGACATTGCTGTCGAAGCCAGTCATGTGGCAAAGAAGGTACCGTTGTGGGTGTCACTTACTAAAGAGCTTTATCTTGAGTTGCATGCCTGAAACATGTGTTTGACAATGTGATAGATGTTAAAGGAATACAAATGCCTAATACAATGATATTTAAAGCATATTTAATTGAATGTTCATAAATTTTGCCGAATTCCCGTTGTCATCTTTCCTTCAAAACCAGCTTCTCTGACTTCTTACTAATGTCATTTTATCAGCCACCCAATAAGAGCTACGGGACACGTCTCCTCTGTACTCTGTCCCATAGGTCAGAAAACCATGGCAAGTTTTCCTTACTCTCTTCTTGCTCCCCTTCTTCTAGTTAATTTCCCTTAACAGGTTTACCCCACCTCTCTCCAGTTATTGAAACACCTTCCTAATAATAGTCATAGAAATGGGTGACATTTGTTGTATCACACTGTGCCAAGCACAGAATTTTGTCCCGCATAATTTCAACTAGTCATCGAAGTATGCCACAGAAGCAGGTACTAGAGCAGCTCAGACCACAGATGAGGAAACTGAGACTCACAGAGGTTAAATAGCCTGCCAAGCTGTCCCACTCGAATGTGGTAGAGCCAGTCCTGAAACCCAAACCTCCCCGACTCAGTGCCCATGGTGCTCCTAACTCTGTGTCCTGTGTCCCTGTCTCCCCACTCACAGCCCTTCCCCTACTCACAAACATCCATCCAGACCCCAACCACCCACAAACAAATCCTCAGAACATCCTACTCCCTTATGACACTCTCGTATTGAAAACCTTCTAACAGCTGTCCTGAAAAACATTAACTACAGACGTATTAGCCCTGCACAGGGCATGCTCCATAGTCTAGCCTGAGTCTGCCGTTTACATTCTAATCCCTGTTACTCTCTTACATGATCCTTAACTGCCACCACACAGGCCTACCCTCGGCCCTGCCCAGGTCGTGTGTCTTTGTTTCTCCTTTGCTCACAGCACCCCCTCCTTTCTGTAGGCCCAATTCCCCTTTTTTAATAATCTACATTTACATTCCAAGATATTTCACCCACCTACAGAGTGATCAATCCCTATTTAGGAGTTATATTTATGTAATATTGTGATTTACTCTCCTCAGCATATTTCAACTCTTAGTATTGCTAATTATCTTTTATAGCAAACTAATACATGTATGTATATGTATGTATGTCTGTGTGTATACTGTGTGTGTATATATATATATATAGTATACTGTATGTGTGTGTGTGTGTGGTATGTGTGTATGTGTATCTTCTTTGCAACCATGCTGTAAACTCACTGAGAGTCATTTGGCCAATTGACGTCCACTATGCTGAGCATTGTGCCAGACACAGCTTATACACCGGAGAGCACAACACCTATAAGAAGATCCCCACTGCTGTAGAGCATGCAGTCCTGGGCAAAATGGATGGCGAGTAAATAAGTGTAAGAATAAGTCTAATGACAGCGAGGGTGAAAATAATTGTGAAGAAAAGGGACCGGAAGCTCATGACTTTAGTATTCCCTTCTAAGACTTTATTTATTTTTTTTAAAAGGTTTTTGCTGTAGGGCGATTGCGCTCACCAGAAAGACAGAGACAGACAGAAAGCAAGAAATCACCCTGGGGGGATGGTCACGCCGCAATCCCTTCTCCTCCATTCTCCTCTCGGGATCCTGGGCACGCACGCACACGCGCCCGGCATGAGTTTAAGCCACCAGGTCTGGGACTCGAACTGCAGTCTGCTATGTGGGAGTCCAGCAACATAGCCATTACGCTAACTGCTGGTCCCCCTTCTAAGACTTTTGAAAAAGGACTTGATGATTGATAGATTGATTAATTGGTTTTAAGAGAGTTAGTAATTTGGTGGTGTTTTCCTGAAACAAGAGAAAGAAAGAGGAAAAAGGAGGTCTTGAAACAAAAATTAGGGCCCATCCACTGTGACCAACACACACGAGTAGCATATGATTAGTTCTATTTCTCTGCATTTGGATTTTTTTTTCAATCTGAAAACATGCTTTGCAGGACCAGCAGTTCGTGTCCTGGACCTGGTGGCTTAAAACTCATGCCGGGCACGTGTGCGTGCGTGCCCAAGATCCTGAGAGGAGAATGGAGGAGAAGGGATTGTGGCATGGCCATCCCCCCTGGGAGGGGGTGATTTCTCGCTTTCTGTCTCTGTTTCTCTCTGTCTGTCTGGCGAGCGCACGTGCTCTATGGCAAAAACCTCTTAAAAAAAAAAAACATGCTTTGGGATCTTCTTGTTTCTCTATAAACAAAGAAATCCCCTTGGCTTAGACTATAACTCATATCTACCACAATGCCATGTCTGATTCTGCATCATGACCAGAGAGGGAGGTTCAGAGTGGGGATCTCATGTCCAAAACGCTGAAGTGCCTGCTCTTCTTGCCACCACATTCTCAGTGTTGTGCTGGGGACTTCAAAAAGTCCCATTTGTGAGAAAATGGAATTATTAAAATAAACATTTATTTTGACACACAAAAACTTGAAAACCGTGCATAGCTTTTTCAGAGTATACTTTTTCCCTGAACTTTCTGAGATCCCTTGCTTATAACAGAAGCAAGGGACCCTGTAGCTGGGGCTCTCATGCCCAAGTTGGGTAGGGAAAAACAATCTTTTAAATATGTTGCTTTGCATCAGCAAAGTAACAGATCAGCTAACTCAATATTTTACATTTTTTTAAAGGTTTTTATCCATAGGGTGCATGTGCTTGCCAGAGAGAGACAGAGAGAGGAAAAGTGAGAAATCACCCCCTGGGGAAGATGGCCATGCCACAATCCTTTCTCTTCCATTCTCCTCTTGGGATTTTGGGCATGCATGTGCATGTGCATGGTGTGATTTTTCAAGCCACAGGGACTGAGACTTGAACTGTTGTTGGCCATGTGAGAGTCCAGTGACATAACCACTAGGCAATCTACTGGATCCCAAGCAGGCATGATTTTCAAGCCACCAGATCCACGCCTTAAATCTCATTCAGCTATGTGGGAATTCAATGCCTTAACCTCCATGCCACCTGCTGGTCCCCAGCCATTTGCTTTTTAAACAGTTGTACGGGGAACTCTCTTGGATAAGTACCAAAACAACTATTAGCTGAGGAAACTCAGTAGACTGATAAACCCAAACGGTCACTTTGTTAAAAACAAAACAAAAAGCACCACAACTAATTGTCTTACAGAATTTTACTGTCAGTCAAACCAACGATTTTTATTGAACCCTCATGGACAGCTCCCAGGAGCTGCTGTGCTCTGCTTTATTGCTGACAGTGATCATAGTACACAAAGCCCAGTTCCTGCCTCTCATCGAATGGCCCACTGTGTAAACCACGTGTCTCTGTGATTGTTTCCAGGTGTTCCTCAGCACCACTGGAGGGGCCTGGGTCATCAGCCGTGTCTTTGACTCGGGGTACCCATGGGACATGGTGTTCATGACGAGATTTCAGAACATGTTCAGAAATTCTCTCCCAACTCCACTTGTGTCATGGTTGATAGCAAGAAAGATGAATAGCTGGTTCAACCATGCAAATTACGGCTTAGTACCAGAGGACAGGTAAGTATAGCATGCCTGCCCAGGGCTATTAGGAAGAAGGAGGCTGGACATTTTCAGCGGGACCTACAGGAATGTGACTGAATATGAGGAAAGCTTCAAACAAATGTATTTAAGAACATAGCTAACTGTTCTTAAGTGCTCAGTAAGTGAAATTATGTTTTCACCTTGTCATTGAATTTTTTATGGTAACTATTATTATAATCTTCCTTTAACTGTGGACTAACTGAGGCTTAGAAAAATCCAGCCACTTGCCCAAGCTAATTCAGTAGCAGGCGAGTACTGTCCTTGGCAGGTTACTTACGCCTCAGCAGCGGTGATCCTAGGACAAAGGTTTGCCCACAGTCCTGCTGGCGAAAGTGACACGCTTACCTCTCGTGTGGGGAAACTGAATCCTGTCGACGCCTTTCATCGTGTCTTTAATGGCACTGCCTTTGTGCCCTGATCAAGATGTCCTTGGTTCCAGTCTGTCCTTTTAATTATAGCCTGTCTTATCCCATTAACAAAAGCAAAAGTGTGGACAGGAAGCCACTCTCACCACCTCCTCCCACCATTTGACCAGTGTTCTTTCCATTTTACTTTCGTGCATTCACTGTAAGCCAAACCTGGCTCAGTTTGCACAAAATTCATTCATGAAGTGTCTTGTGATTCTAGAGAAAAGGAAAAAAAATATATATAGAGAGAAATGGTTCCGGGGACCAGCAGATGGCATAATGATTATGTTGCTAGACTCCCACATAGTCAACCGTGGTGCAAGTCCCAGACCCGGTGACTTAAAACTCATACTGGGCAAGTGCGTATGTGTTCCCAAAGTAGCAAGAGGATAATGGATGAGAAGGGATTGCACTGTGGCCATCCCCTCCAGGAGGGTGATTTCTTGCTTTCTGTCTCTGTTTCTCTCTGTCTCTCCAGTGAGCGTACATGCAAAAATCTCTCTGTAATAAAAAAGATGATTCTGTCTTTTATTTTTCCTCTTAAACGCACGCATGCTTCCTAGGAGGAGTTGGGTGGGGAAGAGCTTCCTGTAATTCAGCTCTCAGCTGTCTCTAGAACGCAGTGATAGCTACATGCTGAACATCAGCAAGAGAAACAAGGTAAAAGCAGCCCGGCCTTCTCCTCAGGCTTCCAAACTCTAGTAAATGACAGGCATATTCATAACCCTTCTTGGCATTCACAAATCCCCTCCCTCTTTTCCCAAGACTGGCAACTCCTGTCCAGCATCTCTTGTCCAGTCCATTCTGGTAGAGCCCCAGAAGGAAGAGAGGACGATAAGGAGGAGGGAGGTCTGGCACCTTGTTCCCCACAGATCCTTTCCCTGTCCATGTTCTTGTCTAGGATTCAGCTAAGAGAGCCCGTGCTAAATGATGAGCTCCCAGGCCGCATCATCACCGGGAAGGTGCTCATCAGGCCAAGCATTAAGGAGGTGAGGGAGAACTCGGTCCTGTTCATCAACACCCTGGAGGAAGAGCCCATTGATATCATTGTCTTCGCCACTGGGTACACCTTTGCGTTCCCCTTCCTGGATGAGTCTGTAGTGAAAGTTGAAGATGGCCAGGCCTCACTGTACAAGTATATCTTCCCTGCACATCTGCAAAAGCCAACCCTGGCTGTTATCGGCCTCATCAAACCCTTGGGCTCCATGATACCTACAGGAGAGACACAGTCTCGATGGGCTGTTCGAGTCCTGAAAGGTAAGCTCATGAGAAACAGCAGGGCACTTGCTGCTGTGCGGTGTGATTTTGGACACTGGAAATTTCGAGTCCATTCCTCAGCTCCTATTTGCAACAGCATAATCATTAAAAGCTGGATCGATTCGATTATTCACTGAATTACATTATCATAATGTCTACCATTATCATTATAAATAATGAACCAGAACTCAAAAACCAACCATAAGCTGTGTCCACATGTTACTTTAAAGGAATCAGCTGATTCCATTACAATTTAAAAGTGTAGCCAAATGAGTGGCAAAATTCAGTCAAAACAGTTATAAGCTTCTGTCTTATCAAGGAGGGAGACGACCAGATGCTGACGTTCTCAGCCACTGGCATTGGTGCCTGGGGCACGTTGCCACTCAGCTCAGCTGCTGGCATCGCTGCTAGAGCAGGTACATAGTAGGTACTAGAAATGCTCATCAGCAGTGAGACCTCGCTGTTCCTAAGGAAACACTGAAATCAATCATGAAATCACATTTTTGGCTTGTTTATTTTCTAGGTATGATTAAGTTACCACCACCAAGTGTCATGATAGAAGAAGTTAATGTGAGAAAAAAGAACAAGCCCAGTGGGTAAGCTCCTTTTCTATCCTCCTTCCAGAATGAAAGCTGTAGCAGGGAGGCCAGAAGCACACTAGGGAAAGGAGGAATAAAAGACTCAGAAAAAGGAAACCCAAAAACTAAAAACTAACAACTAGGAGACCCTGTTTTGTTCTGTTTTGTTCTAAGTCTTTGCCATAGGGAACCTGTGCTTGCCAGAGAGAGAGAGAGAATGGGAGAAAGCGATAAATCACCCCTTGAGGGGATGGTCATGCCATAATCCCTTCTCCTTCATCTCCTCCTGGGATGTTGGATGTGCATGTATACACATGAAGAACCTGTTTAAGAAGAGAGGAGGGAAAAGGAAATCGAGAAGGTGTGATATCCCCCACAGTCAGCTCCATAATTCTACACGAAGTAGCAGTAGCCCTGGTCTGCCAGGTGCAGCATCCCACACCCTCCCCATAATCAGCAGGGAACCGTCATGATTCTGACTCTGCTGCTGCAATGCCTGCTCACTCGCTCACCAGCGAGGGCTTCCCAGCTCTGTGGTCTCCACTCAGACTGCAGCTCTAGAACAGGGCCGGGCAAACTGCCGCCTCTGTGCCAAACCCACCAACTGGGTTTTGCTTTTATTTTTAAATGGTTGGGAGGAAGGAGAGAAAAAGAGGATTTTGTAATACACAATTAGGATATACCCATACTTGTTCATTTACATAGGCAAGGTCTTCAAAAATTTCATGGAAAATGTGGATTATGAAAACTGCATGGATTTTTAAATATTTTTTGCACTGGAATAAACTCATATTTTATGTTCATTTTTTTTTTCATGAGCTTTTTAATTCCCTTGGATTGTCAATGGCTGTTTTTGAGTTAGGACAGCAGAGTTGAGTAGTTGAAATTGAAACTTAATACGGCCCCCACAGCCTAGAACATTTACTATTCGGCCTTTTGTAGAACAAATTTGGTGACCTTTTCTTTTCACAAGGGTTTTTACTCATGCTCTGCTCTATGACTCCTTGGATAATGGAAAGGAGGTGGCCTCTGAAAAAGGGGGTCTTGGGGCCAGCAGGTGGTATGGTAGTAAAGGGGCTGGATCCCACATGGCCAACCATGGTTTGAGTCCAGGATCTGGCAACTTGAAAATCAAGCCAGGCACATGTGCATGTAATCCCAGGAGGAGAATGGAGAAGGGACTGTGGCATGGCTACCTCTGGGGGAGGGGGTGATTCCTCACTCTCCTCCTCACTGTCTCTCTCTGTCTCCCTCCTACCAGCACATGTACTCTTTGCCAAAAACCTAAATTGGAAAAAAAAAAAAAAAGGAAAGAAAAAAGAAAAAAGGAGTCTTAGCACACCATTCGTGCTCCCAGTCCAATCAAAACCTCATTTCCCCAGAACACATATTATAATAAACAGGGGCTACAGCCGATGCGCTCAGTTCCAAATCAGGTCTTATCCACAGACCACAGCTGGCCTCTGGCAGCAAAAGGCAAGGCTGCCCAGTCCTCTGCAACTCTGCTTTTCTGTTTTGTCTGGTTTTGACTTTAAATTTTCACTTAAAAAAAAAAATGGTTCTGAAGTCAGGAAAAAACCAAAGCCATAAAACCTTAAACCCATTTCATTTAAGGAGCTTGCGATCGCCTCCCTCGTTCACAATTGTCCCCAAAACTTCAAGTATCAATCGATCCTTGTCCAAGTGCCAAATTCAAAACCCATAGAAGCATTTTAGGTGTCTCTTCTTTACCCTCAACTTGGATTTAATATGGAACTGTGGTATAAGGAATAACTAATTAGAACTATTACGCCATGCAGAAGTTTCTCATCACACAGGGCAGGACACAATTTTAGGCCATAAAACCAGCAGTGCAGGGAATTCTACCCTATGACTTCTTATTATGTCCCACAGTCTACAAGTCTATTATAGTAATAATTGAGTTTGACAGAGATTTAGGATTTTTTTTTTTTTTTGGAGAGATTTTCACTGTAGGGCGCGTGCACTCGCCAGACAGACAGAGAGAGACATAGAGAGAGAAAGCGAGAAATCACCCCCCAGGGGGGATGGTCACGCCGCAATCCCTTCTCCTCCATTCTCCTCTCGGGATCTTGGGCACGCACGCACACGCGCCCGGCGTGAGTTTTAAGCCACCGGGTCCGGGACACGAACCACGGTCGACTACGTGGGAATCCAGCGATATAGCCATTACGCTAACTGCTGGTTCCCGAGATTTTGGATTTTTAAAATATACTTTCCTCTACAGTCGCTAACCATTTCACATAGGAACAGAAGCAACACTGGGGTGAGTGAGCGTTCAGAGCAATGTGTAAGCCACATGTGCAGAGTATCTTTTCAAGGGACTTACCTTGTCCTTAAAGAATGGAATGAGACCATTGGATAGCTATGGGCATTCAGGGGAGAACACAGAAACGGGCCCAAATTTTGCATCAGCATTTGTTTGCTTTGGGTATTTTCACTTGTCACAAATGACCATTACTTTGTGTTTTTGTCTTCCCCTTCCCCCCAATCTTCCTTTGGTACAGGTTCGGCCTGTGCTACTGCAAGGCTCTGCAGTCAGATTACATCACATACATAGACGAGCTCCTGACCGACATCAACGCAAAGCCCAACCTGCTGTCTATGCTCCTAACAGACCCGCGCCTGGCTCTGACCGTCTTCTTTGGCCTGTGCACCCCTTACCAGTTCCGCCTGACTGGCCCAGGGAGGTGGGAGGGAGCCAGAAATGCCATCCTGACCCAGTGGGACCGAACATTCAAGGTTACCAAAACTCGGATTGTGCAAGAACCCCCACCTCCTTTTGAAAGTTTACTTAAGCTCTTTAGCTTTCTGGCTTTGCTTGTGGCCATCTTCCTGGTTTTCCTGTAAGTGGGAGATTTCCTAAAAGGCATTTTCAGATGCACGGGGTAGATTTGCTACGCTCTGATTTCTCTACTACAGCAGCAGTGTCCTCAGAGTCATAAGCACATCTGTCTGGAAAACAAAGACCACTGCTGGCCCCAGGCTGCTGCCAGTATTCCTGGACCTCTCCCAGCTCCACCCACGTCTAGTGCTGGAGGATGGGAACTAGGTTTCTGTGGATTCGAAGGCTTCTGGAAGGTTCCAGGTTCATTTGAGGAAGAGAGAAGTCCTAGACGTAACTCTGAGAAGTCCACCTCATTCCCATATCTACTGTCTTTGTAGATCTCAATTAAATCTGTCTACTTCCTAAAAGATTGGGCTATGTTGAAATTGTGCTTTTATTGGCTGAATAAAATTTTTTTGTGAAACCTAGAAGTTGATTGTTTTAAGAGGTCTTTTTATTTTCTTTTTAAGAGTTGGTGAAAGAGAAAAGAGAATCTATGAATAAAGTCCATAAAAAGATAGGGGTTCAATGAGTTTAAGAGTTTCAAAGGAGGAATGTACCTGCTTGCAACTGCTCATTTCCCCCCAGAACTCACACTATCTAACCCGAGTGCTCCAGCCAAAGACCCTGCCAAAGCAGGTCACCCCACAGAAAACGCCTGTCTACCTGACCTTGGAGCAGGCTTCCAGCAACCCCAGGCAAAGGCCTACTCGGTCCTCCTAGGCAACACGGCTTTAATAAGCAACTGAGCTGCCTCCTCCCATGGGTTGATCAACACAGTCAAACACAACTGCAATTCATTAGAGTGAATGTAGCCAAGGGTGTTTAATAGAAAGGGGGAAGATAGGGAAGGAAAGAAAGGAGCCCAAACAAACTCTGTTGTAAAGGCAGTTTTTGACCAAACTAGACCCAGCCTGCCGCCCAGTTAATTTGGGGAAGACGTGACTCACACCCAGGAAAGATTTTACCTAAACTTCACCTCACTGATGGCAAACCTCATCACACAGAGAGGTGTGTGGTTTGGATTTGGTGGGGATTCAAAATCTAGGGTCAGGAGTCAGCTTTGCAGAGAGGCACACACAGGTCACTCTGCCCACCTCTGTCTGCTCTTCTGGCTCCTCTGTCTTTGTCCTTCACTTACTGGCCTCCTGACCTATGGCCTCCTTAGCATAGAAACTCACAATGAGAAATTGCCACTGCATATCATCTAGATTATTCCTGGAATGTTTTCTTTCCATGAAAACAGAGTTGGCATTTTATCATTTCTCCTGAAGCTGCTGAAGGAAGGATTAATATCCAAGGTTAGACAGGGCAGGGTGGACTCCGCAGACCACATGGCCGATGTTGAGGGCCCACAATGCACCTGAGCCTAATCTCATCTACTGCACTGGGAGATTGGACACATAGACGAATGGTGGCCGGACCGCCTGACCCACAGCTCTGCAGCCATCAGTTTGGAACAGTCAGCATTATGGCCCATGAGTGCCAGCTTCTCTAATTCTTGCCCCTGCTTCCAACTCAGGACCAACCAAAGAAAGGCTAACCACTCCCAACCATTGTCATGTGATGCCGCTTCTATTCAATAGTCAGCGTGCCTCCCCTGCCCCCAGAGACCTCCAATAAACCTACTGAAGTCTTCCCTTTTGTTCACTATGATAAATAACTCCCCTGCCTGGTGTCAAATCTATGCCAAATGTTAGTGATGGCTGAATGTCTTGCTCTAGTAAGTTTTGTCTTCATTTATTTGAATAGTAGAAAACATGTATTATGGGGACCAGTAGATGGCATAATGGTTATGTTACTGGACTCTCGCGTAGTTGACCATTGTTTGAGTCCCTGCTCCAGCAGCTTAAAACTCACACCGGGCGCATGTGCAAGCATGCCCAAAATCATGAGAAGAAATGAGAAGAGATTGCAGTGTGGCCATCTCCTCTGAGGGGCAATTTCTCACCTCCTGTCTCTCTGTCTCTCTGGTAAGCATATCCACCCTATAGCAAAAATCTCTTTCTCCAGGAAAAAAAAGATAGAAAGAAAACATGAATTTTGTCAAGGGGTGACACACCTAATGACTGTAGCAATAATTACAATGCCGCTTATTTTATATACTCCAATATTAATAAAGTGCCAAAGTAGTATCCCACTTAATCCTCACAACAGTAGTTTTGTGGTTTTGAAGGCAACTGTACTACACAACTTAACAAGCAGGAAAAATGCAGAAGAAGAGACATCAATTGATTTGTTCAAGGTGGGCTGGGTCAGGTGTTTTGATCACGTCTCCAGGGCTCTTTACCACATAAGCTTGTGGTTTCCGGCATTCATTTGGCTTCAAAATCTTAGCAGTGCTTCATGAAAGTCATAGAACAAGGGTGTTACTCCACAACAGTATCTGTGCCTTACTCCCTTTCTCACCCTCTCTGAGTGTGTGTCTCCCATGATGTGGACCTTTCCCTCTATGGGACTTCTTACTTGCCCCTTCATGTACACTGAGAGGCTTCTGAATCCATGAGTCTGCGCCTCCATGCATCTCTCCCCCTCTTTATCCTTCCTCTTCTTTCTTAACGATGACTGTGCTAGATCTACTTTATGGCCTTGGTACAGAGTAGATTCAATAGAAAGGACAATTTCTCATTCTTTGTCTATGAATTCTTACATTCATCATACTGGGGAACAAGGTCAAGTTTTTTTATTATTATTATTATTCAGGAAGAAAAAAAAATGGTTAGTTCCCAGAAATAGAGCAAAAGAGGAAACATATACTGACTTTACTGAGCATTTCTTACATACCCTTCAAATCAAAAGGGCATCTCCAAGAGTAATTTTATAATTGTTTTTCTTATCATAGAGAGTATGTGTGTGCATGCATGACAGAGAGAGACAGAGAGAGAGATAAAGAGAAGCACCCTCGACAGGGACTCTTTACCTCCTGGTCCTCTTTTCCCTGTTCTCCTGCTCATCAGGGTCATGGGTACCTATATGCCTACCCAGGACAACCCAGGGATCTGCACCCACAGTCAGCTGTGTGGCTTCCAGGATCGCAGCCCAGTACACTAATGATTATGCCAGCAGCATCAGGTCTTTTAAAATGTATACAAACAGTAGCCTAGTGGCCCGATCTTAAGTAAAGATGTGCATGTCCTTTTATCAATGCTCTGATCTTTCAGAGTGCCACATGGAGGGTTCTCAGGAGCACGGGCTCTACCATTTACCTGCTGTGTGATTTCAGCCAGTCACTGACTTCTCGAAGCCACAGTCTTTCTGTGACATTATCTTTTGATAATGCATCCTACTTTGTAAGAGTGTTACATGGACTAAATGGTAGGACTGGTGAAAAGTGCCTAGATAAGTTACAGCTGTTTCCACTGTTACCCCAGAAGGATGCAATTTTCATTGCTGGCTTTCTCTTTCTAAGCTGTAGGGCTATCTCCTCAGTGAACATTTCCTCTAGAATATGTCATGGCCTTCTCACATGCAATATGTCCAAGTCAACCTTGTTCTGTCCTCTTCCTTACTCCTCGTGGGGAAACAAATGTATCTCAGTGAGTAAGCACACCGACTATGCACTCCCTTCGGAGTTATCTGACTAATTTTATGGGAGCTATTTTATAACTCAGTACAGATAGCTAATAGCAATGCAAAAAAATCATGCCTATAGACCTGTATGTCTAGGAGAAGTTGTCTTCCCTTCCTCACTATGGAAAAGGCCAGTTTTGCCTGTTTACATATTCATTTCAATATTTCTAATCTATAAATGTATCTGTTCTTTACATTTTCTTTTGAACTGATAGAAACATCTTACCGATTCCTTCTTACATAAGAAGTTAAATAAAATTTTTGGGAACCAGCAGTTAGCATAATGGCTATGTCGCTGGACTCCCATGTAGTTGACCGCATTTCACATCCCAGACCCGGTGGCTTAAAACTCATGCTGGGTGCGTGTGCGTGCATGCCCAAGATCCCGAGAGGAGAATGGAAGAGAAGGGATTGTGGTGTGACCATCCCCCCTGGGGGGTGATTTCTCGCTTTCTGTCTCTATGTCTCTCTCTGTCTATCTGACGAGAGCGCATGTGCCCTATAGTGGAAAACCTATCCCCCCCAAAAAAAAAGAAAGAAAAAGAAGTTAAATAAAATTTTTGATGTTTCTATTTTATATTTATATGAATTATGATTTTACCTCTTTTGAAAATTATCTCTTTTTTTTTTGGAGAGGTTTTCGCTATAGGGCACGTGCGCTCGCCAGACAGACACAGAGAGACATAGAGACAGAAAGCAAGAAATCACCCCCAGGGGGCATGGCCACACCGCAATCCCTTCTCCTCCATTCTCCTCTCGGGATCTTGGGCAAGCACGCGCAC